TTGCCCAAGTAAGGAATAAATGACCAAAAAAATTGAGATAAGGTACTTTTTAAAAAAATATTTTAGAACTATCAGGTTCTACAAGATGCAATAAATATGCAACTGAAAGTGTTGGTTATCAGTTTATTAGACAGGGAATATGCCCAAATACCAAAGAAAAAAGAAAGAAGGAAATTCTGTAGAAGCTTATCACATTAGTATAAGAAATCTTGAAGTGCACACCCACACTCTCCAGCATTTTCTTCAAGATCAAATACATACTGGCCAAGAAATTCTGAGTCTTTAATAAAAACAGGAACCAATGGCTTAGGGACAGGAAATGATATGGTAACCACAAATCAGTTCCTAACTCATCCTTGGGGGTTTGTCCAAGAAAACAAGCTGAAAGGAGACACAACTAGAACATTCTTTTCTTCACAGTCAGATATACTGGCCCATCTCTTCACACAGCAATAAATAAGCCATTACAAATCAGATCATTTGAGACCATGTCAGCAACTTCAAAATAACCTGAAAGTTATGTATATGGAACTATCGCTAGATGACCATATCATCCTTAATCACACTAAAGGATTTGTGGGAGATTTTTTCTTTTTCACCAAATAGAGGAATCAGGCTCCTTTAAATAGACAAAACAATTTATCTTTTGTCCCTTCTCTCCCTCCCTCTCTATGTCGAAGATTCTATCCTTGCTTTTTGGATAGATGGCGGCTAACTTCTGGTTGATAGATGTCAGCAAAGACAAACACCATGCCACAAAGACCAAGCAGTTCTTAGGAAACAGAATTTATGACCACTGCTAAGAATAATGCTCAAGAAGTGTGTAGCTACTCCAGCATTACACATTGTCCTTGGAAATTACAAACATGGGGGAGCATTTGAGATCTTGCTTCCCATCAGACGTCATCAGTTTGACTCAAGTAAACTCTTATTTTTTTAAAAAAGGAAATTACAAACATGTGATAAATTATGTTCAGTGCAGAAAGGAACTCCCACAGAATCATTGTTTTCCCCCTGAAAATGTATTCTGCACCAGCAGCTGTTGCTGCTATGTAAATAGGCATCAAAAGTGTCTTTAAGCCAAATGTTTGAATGACACACTTGCATATAAACACATTCCAGACGTTTTCTTTTTAGGATGGTTTCTTATCATATAGACCCAATCAAATGTTTAAAATATCTTCTCATAGATTTACTTATTAGAAGTCTTGTAGCATTTCCCCATCTGTCTGAGTTCTCCAAAAATCAGTAGGTTGATTCTGAGTGGTTAGAAGATTCCATGCAGATTTCCAGAGGATACATTGCTATAAATACAGATGTGAGCGTAATACTAAAACAACTTCATTTCAGAAAATTTCTAAAAGAAGACAAGCTGCTATGTTTGTGTGTGTGTGTGTGTGTGTGTGTGTGTGTGTGTGTGCATTTCTTCCATTTGGAGGAGGGGGCGTAGAGGGGAAAGGACACGGAGAGAGGGAGCAGTTCTCCACTAATAAGCCTAAAATCTCCTCTCTCCATTGACTTACATGACGCTCCTGCTGGCAACTTGCCAACTTGGTCACCATTTTTTTTTCTCCTTTTTCCTCTTAAAAATTGCTTCTTTGGGAATTTTTTCTTAGTTGAAAAGGTAATAAGAAGTGTGAAAGCAAGCAAACCAAATCTAAAATAAATTCTTTACTACATGGCTTTCTTTATATGACATAATTAGCACTGCTAATGGAATAAAGATGCGTCAATCCAAATAGAATCTGAGTTTTATACTTACACCTGGATCTGACATCTGAGCGTCGACAGCATCTCTCTAAAACAGACCTATAGTGAATACTCGCCTAAGATATCAGACAGTTCATATTTTTACCACTCTGATATTACTACCAGTAATTTTTCACTTGGATAACTCCCTAAAATTTACAAAATATTTTAATGTACATAACCTTATCTTAATATTTCTGCTCACTTTACGTTGAGAGATAACAGGATAGAGATTAACAAAACCACAGATAGATAGTAAATCGCAGAGTCAAGACTCGAAGGGAGGTGTCTTATTTCTAAGTCCAGTTATTCAACTATTCATCGTGTGTCACTGACCAACTCTTATCTATGCTTCCAGTCTTGCTAGAAATAGGTAGAGCCACCCCCTCTAGTGGAAATACTATGCCATAGCTGCTCTTCCCTGCTAAAATTGGTGCTGTTTCCATTTTTTAATTAGTTAAGATTAAATTGTTTTCATTAAAAGATTTCTTGATGGATATAAAGTTGATAGTGTTAAGAAAGTAAACAAATATTGAATAAAAGTTTATAACCTTTCTGCTAATTATCAGTTAACTTAAGAAAAAGTATGTTATATCCTATGATTAATTTAATTTGACTTAAACTTTCTGCTAAATACATCACAATTATAAAGTAAGAATGCTTTGTAAAAGTTTGAAAAACACAAAAAATAATTCCAAAACTTAAAGGTCACTATTATTAAAATCATTTTTGCTTTTATTTTCATCTGATCTTTGCATATATAACTTCTTAAATTTGATTAAAATTCTATCTTCACTTAAGATTACATTCTGGACATTTGCTTGTATCCTTAACAATTCTAGAGAATATCCTTTAATTGATGTTAGAAATGAAGTATATTGCTACTAATAACGCCAACGATACAACAGTAACTAGAAATTTTAAACATTAACATCTAGTCATGAATAACACAAACCAGTTTTTAATTTTTTCAGACAAATGCAAGGGTCCTATCTAATCATCCCCAACCAACTGCCAATTCCTTGAGTTTTGTTCAACAGACTGAAATGTTAGTAAAACCTGAAGACACTACTGTGCCCATTTTAAGGGCTGAAGATACAGAAAACGGAAAAGAAACTACAGTATATGTAGAAGACCACCCCAACCATAAGGTAAAAGTAACAGGGTCATGCTAATGTAATTTTTAAATTCTCTAAAAGTTTCAATTTCAAAGCATGGTCAAAGAAATTACTTCATTCTCTCCTCAGTTTAATATTTTTAAAGCTGATCACAACAACTGCCTCCAATCACTAGAAGAATTGTGAGATTTAATCAGTTTTACTCATTTGGCTGAGATGCTATATAATTTTTTCATTTCACAAAATGAAAATTCAGGTAAAACTTCTAGCTATAAAATGTGAAAGACATCATAAATAAGTTTACATGATATTATGTGAAGAAAAAGAATAATAAACATTAAATGTTGATGTACAAATTATAAATGCTATGTAGGTATTAAATTATTTGTTTCAAAAAAAAACACTTTTTCTTTTAAGGCTGAAAAAGCTTCAATAATAAAATCAAAGAAGGAAAACCATGAACAGTCAGCAGATCAGGACCAGAGTTACAGCCCAGAGCTGAGATTACAGGATCAAAAGGAAAGTGAAAGTGACCTAAGTGAGAATTTGGAGTATACACCAACTGAAGGTGCATTGGACCTAAAAAAAGACATGAGTAAGCCTCAAGAGAAAAAACTCCCAGAGAACATTGATTTCCTTGCTCCTGATGTTAGTTCCCTTGTACATTCTAACCAGCAAGAAAGCATCATGAAGACAGAGAAAAGCCAAGAACAGCTTATAAATGATTCACTTCCTCAATTAAATAGGAGCAGCAAGCATGGCCAAGACCTAAGTGATCAGGATAACCAAGAGCAGAATCCAATCAGTCCCAACAGAGAAGAGGAAGCAGGGAAAGAACAAGGTGAAGTTGGCACCCACAATGATAACCAGGAAAGGGAGAGAGAAGTTCCCAAGGAGCATTCTAACAGCAAGCAGGAAGACAGTACCCAATCTGATGATATTTCGAAAGAGTCCAATCAACCAACTCAAGTAAGCAAAACGCAGAAAGATGAATCCGAGCAGGGTCACCAAGAACAAGAAGAGGATAACTCCAATGAAGAAATGGAAGAGTCAACTGAAGCAGAAATCAATAAGCACAGTCAAGATACTGAATGGCAGAACCAACAGGGAAAACCTGGCCTTGAAATTATCAGCACCCCCGAGGAGATGGATAAAAAGACCGTTTCTGAGACTTTGCTTGTAGGGCCTACTGATGATGGTGATGATGGCTCCAGACTCCGTGCAAGTGATGACTACCTCCCACAAAGTGAAGCCTTCCAGGAGGATGAAAGAGCTGCTTCCAATTACTATTTCATCAAATATAAGGAGCAAAGAGAAAAAGCACATGAGAATGAGAATGTAGGTACCAGTGAACCTGGAGAATACCAAGGGGTGAGATTGTTTACAATGAGCCTTATCCGATAAAACACTTAGCTTTATCAAGAAACAGCTATAACCAGTCTCCTGTGCTTATCTCTATCATTACATTACTAAATATGTTACGGTTATTTATTTTCCTCTCCATCTCCCTCATTAGGCTGAAGATGTGTTTTAGTTGGGTTCCCCTAGAAGCAGAACCTGGATTTTAGTGCAGTTTTTTTGAGTTCAGGGAACAAAGAGAAGTGAAAGTGATACAGGAAAAGAAAGGAAGCTAATCAGAGGTACCTGGTGAGAGCCAGGTAAAGCACATTCCTCTGAATTGTCTCATTTGGTGAGTGAGAGAGCTGGGGCATTTATACAGGCCGAGAATTGCCAGGAGGGGTGTTAATTTTGCAGAACTTCCAGTCTGTTCTTTAAGCAGTCCGAATAGAATTCCATGGTTTTGAAGCTACAGAGACACAAATACTGGCAGTTTGAAAGTCCCTGGAGCTAACTAGAATGGTTAACTCTGACAGATATGAGGGATGGGAGATACTGACAACTGCCGCTCTAATGCCTTGAGAGTAGGTAGGTACCATGTCATGTCGAGTTGAATCACCAATGTCTAGCAAAATGCCTCTAACATAGTAAGAGATCCAGTAATGTGTGTTGATTTAGCTATAAAAATTAAGAACAAGGACTTCAGCTACAATTTTATTAAGCAAACACACACCAAAATGATAATCGGGAAACTGCGGTCTGGCAGGAGTTGGGGAGAAACATATTGTTCTTTGGTTGTTTAATCCTTTGGAGCTTTCCTGCAAAAACCCAGCAGCCACCCACCAGGAAGACTTGTCTCAGCTTTTGGTAGGCAAGATCAATAGTAATCTTGATTACTGATAACTCTGCTGCCAATCAAAGGTAGGAATTTTCTTATACTTTAGAAACCTGGTAAGAAAACTTTACCAGCAGCTTCACAGAGATTACTGATATAACCATGCCCTAACTACAGAATCACATCATAATATTACATTTCTACTGTTTTCCCAAATCCAAAGGGTTCCAACTTTGTTCCTGATGTTAGTTCCAACTTTTATTGAGTAATCCCCAGAGATACTGCATTGAATCCAGTTGATGTAGAAATGGCTCCTATTCTCAAAGGGTCTCTATTTATTTACACAGTTGTGACTGGTGTCTCTTTTTGAGATCTAATATGATATGGATATGAAAAGTTCTGTGAAGGTATGCACAGTGGTAATATAAATTATGTAACTGCTTTCCAATCGACTTCAACTTCTATTCTTGTTATTACAAAGGCCAAAAAAGCAGAAAGCTCACTGAATGAAGATGAAAGTTCGAGTGAAGGCAACATGGGGTTGTACAGTGTTGGTGAGTATGGGCTTAGCAAGCTGTTCATAACCATGTCTAGGAGGAGATGGAACTGGCCACAGTGGGCTGTCTCCATCCACTCATTCATGACTACTGCACAGAATTTTTCCTCTCTCCAATTCTCCCCCCAAAAATACTCTCATAAATTGTTGACAACCTCTTGTACATATATAATATACAGTAGTTCACCCTTACCTTCAGTTTCACTTTCTGAGGTCTCAGTTACCCATGGTCAATCATGATCTGAAAATATTAAATTTCCCAACCACTGACATCATCTGTTCCTGACATCACCGGAAACAGGTGATTCTCCTGTCGTAGCATCAGAAGGTCAATAGTATCTTAACACTATCATGTTGCTTATGTCTGTCACTTCACTTCATCTCATCATGTAGGTATTTTATCATCTCACATTATCACGAGAAGGGTGAGTACAGTACGATAAGATATTTTGAGAGAGACCACATTCTCATAAATTTTATTGCAGTATATTATTGTAATTTATTTTATGATTAGTTATTATTGTTCATTTCTTACTGTGCCTAATTTATCATAGGTATGCATGCATAGGAAAAAGCCTAGTATACAGTGTTTAGTTCTATCCATGGTCTCAGGCATCCACTGTGGGTATTGGGACAGATCCCCCCGAGATAAGAGGGGACTACTGTACAACTATGGATAAATGTCTTTACAACTACACGTCCTGTTGTGATATTATTGCAAAAGCTAGAATTATTTTTCTCTAAATCCTTTTACTTCTGAGAAGAATTAATGCTACCTTATTTATTCTCAAATCCATAACTTACTAGTGAATTTAGATCTCATATTTAATTAAGACCTGATTCCCAACCACATACCCTAATCACAAACATTTTGAATTTCCACACAATAAAATTCTCATGGCTTATTTAACTTCTGAACAACTTACACAAAATTGCACTATAGACTTCAGACTATGACTATTGCAGTCAGGCCAAGAATTGCCGTTCGTTCCTTTTAAATCTCCAACCCAAACTGCGCAGATCCAGACTATTGTGTAAAACAGTCTGATGCCAGGGGGCCCCACCTGAAAATTAACATTAAAATCGTTTCTATTGTTTTCCCAAATTTTCTCTTATTACTGAAAATAGAGTACTTGTCTGAATAAATCTGAGTATTCATACTCAATTTAGCTTAGTCCATGTTTCCTATCTAAAATTTTCTCTTAGATTCTTGCATGAACTATGAGTGTAAAAGAGGACACATGTGTAAGGCTGACCAACAGGGAAAACCTCGCTGTGTCTGCCAAGATCCAGTGACTTGTCCTCCTACAAAATTCCTTGACCAAGTAAGTATTCTACAAAATGCTTTCTAAGGGGCACCAAACAGTGATTTGAATGAAAGTAGTTTGCAATTGAAATTTTTGTTTTAAAAAAAGTGAATGTCCAAGTCATCATCTAATATTTGAATTAACATTAAATAGGAAAAAACACCAGCAAAATCAAAGAATCTCAACTGTGCCCTAAAAATGTAATAATCGCACTGATTTGTAGAACTCATTTTTTAATTCCCTCTATCCTAGGAACATATGCATTTTTCATTCTACTGAAGTTATCTAGAGCTAAATTGTAATCACCATTAGTATAGCTTAGTTGATTTTTTTGTGCCAACTAGGACAGTTATTATTTTAATAGCCTCACCTATCTGACCAATTACATGGCACAGCACAGTTTACCAGGGAGCCTATGAGCTTTAAAGAGCAGAGTGTTTTCCCAATGAAGATTCAGAAACACGAGCTTTTTCTCATGCTTGTCTTTCCTAGGTTTGTGGCACTGACAACCAGACCTATGCTAGCTCCTGTCATCTATTTGCTACTAAGTGCAGACTGGAGGGGACCAAAAAGGGGCACCAGCTGCAGCTGGATTATTTTGGAGCCTGCAAATGTAAGATTCCATCACTAATACCAAGCACCATTGCTGAGAAGGTTTTGGTGAATCTGTGCATAACTGAATAATATGCATGTGCATACTCATGCATATATAAACAGGAAAAAGCTAATGTAGTTCTGAACCTTGGCTACACATTAAAACCAACTGAGAGACTTAAAAAAGAAGAAGAAGAATGCCTAGGCTTTAATTATAAGAGATTTCAGTTTTATTTGAAATCTGGGTTGGAACCTTAACATTGTTTTTTCATTTGTTTTTAAAGTAGCCTAGACAAGTCTACAGTGCAGCCAGGGGTTTGGACCCACTGTGATAATGTTATCCACTTAATAACTGGGATGAATCATTAGAATTTTGCCATGTTATTTGTTCTCCTCAAGTTAGGTTAAGCCTCTGCCAAGAAGGTTTATTACAATATATTTCATCCAGTAGTTTCTAAAAATTGTCTTCCTTTCCCAGGATAGTCTCAATTGTCTTTGTATCTCCTTGTCGCTAAGTGATTCCCCACATTAGCCATGCTCACTAATATTTCTAGTTTTCCTCTCCTTCCAGACACACGAGAGGGTTAGACTTCTAGGCCCCCTTGATTTTAGATGTATCATATGAGTTGCTTTATCCAATGAAATGAGGAATAGTCACCCATGTGAGTTCTGGGCAACAGCATTTGAGTTGGTACATAATTCTCCAGGCTCCCTCTTCTAGTGTTGAGATGGTGTTATGAAGGTAGAGTCTTCATCATGCTGAGCCCCAGAGAAACTGCAATGAGCAGAGAGCCCTCTCATCAACTTGTATTGGATCTGCAGCAGGATAGAGAAATAAACCTTTGATATAATTAAAGTACATGATAACTATATAGTTAACACTGCTGTTAACACTGAAATTGCTAAGAGAGTAGATCCTGATAGTTCTCATCACAAGTAAAACAAAAATATTTTTGTAACTATATAAGGTGATGGTTGTTAACTTATGGTGGTGTTCATTTCACATGTGTCAAGTCATTATGCTGCACACCTTAAATTTATAGTGTTGTGTGTCAATTACATCTCAATAACACTGAAAAAAAAAACTTTTGCTCCTTTAAACCACTGAGATTTAAAATTATTATATCATTACCACGGTGTAAGTGAATTTCTACTTTTTTCTCTTTTCCCATAATGAATAGCTCTTAATGTCCTCCACCTTTAAATTCCAACTCTCTGATTCTACAGAAGTGGTTCTCAGTCCTGGCTGCACACCAAAACTACTTTGGGATCTTTTGAAACATCCTGATGCCCAGGCTTCACCCCAGACCAATCAAATCAGAATTTCTTTGAATGGAAGCTGGCATCTGATATGTTTTTAAAACATCCCAAGTAATTCTGTTGTGTTACCAGGGTTAAGGACCACTGTTGTGATGATGGGGCAGTAAGGATGCTGTCAGTCACCGGAAAATCTTAAGCTTCCTGTTATGAGGAATTGCTTTAGGATAGGAGTAAGACCCAAAGATTAAAATCTATTTACTTCTGCTTGAAACAGCTATTCCCACTTGTACGGACTTTGAAGTGACTCAATTTCCTCTAAGGATGAGAGACTGGCTCAAGAATATCCTCATGCAGCTTTATGAGTCTAACCCTGAACATGCTGGATATCTAAATGAGAAGCAGAGAAATAAAGTAAGTTATCCATGAGTCAGCTACCACGGGTCTGTCTACAAGGCCTGAAGAAAAAAAATTGGGGACCAGGGTTGGAGCTACCTCCCTCTGAAATTGGCAAAAGCCCACTTTTCCTGCCCATGCCTAGTTAGCGCATAAAGATTAACAGAATAATAGTGGTCAACGTTCATGCCATAAGGTTTGGGACATGGCCAAACTACCCCATTACTACACAAAGGGCAGTGGCCTGAGCAAGGTCTAGAGCAGACTCTGGTTGAATAAACTGAACCTTAATTCAGCATTTATATATTCAGGCCCACACATGTTATTTAAATCTAAACATCTTTTCACCCTCACAGACCAGACATATATATTTTATGATATAAGGCAAATTCATTACTTCACAATGTTAGTAATATATATTAAGATTAAAATGTGCAGAATATTAAGTCCAAAAGTTCTCAGGGAAAACTCATTTATCAGATAGTTTTTCAATGAATCCTAGGTACCTGGAATTAATTTACGTACTAGAGAAAGAGCAATGAACCAAATAAAAGTCTCTGCCATCATGAGCTTACATTTTAGGCAAAGAGACAGACTCTTTATAAATAAGTGTGTGTGTGTGTGTGTGTGTGTGTGTGTGTGTGTGTGTGTGTGTATAATGTATATATGTATGTAAATGTATATTTTATATATGCAAATATGAACATACATGCGAATATATGTAAAAGATATGTCAGGCGGGATGATATGTGTTATGAAGAAAAAATGAAACAGAAAGGAGGGTGTGCATTCACTTTATCAGATGCTGTTAGCAGGTTTCAAGATGAGGACTAAGAATTGACCACTGATCTGGCATGTGGTCATTATAGCTGACCTTGACAAGAGCTGTTTCTGCAGAGTGGGGAGGAGAGAAGCCTGAGTAGACAGTATTCAAAATAGAATAGAAAGAAGGATGTGGAAGCAGCAAGTGTAAACAATATTTTTAAGACATTTTATTGTAAAGGCAAAAAGTGAAATAGGGTGGCAGCTGGAGGGGAATGTGAGTACAAGACTTCCATCTACCAATGGGAGATGGTAGAGGATGTTTGTGTGCTTCTGGAAATAATCCAGTAAAGAAGGAAAGGTGCCCAATTGCCATAGGGTATTCTTGAGTAGATGAGAAGGGGTGGGCTCCTGAGCACCAGTGAGGGCATGGGCTTCGATTAGGAGCACAGGAATTTCATTCATGGTAACATGGAGGGACGTTTGTAGATATGGTCATGGGAATGGGTAGAAGTTCTGTTCTGATTGCTTCTGATTACTCAGTGAAATAATGAGTAATGTCACAAATGGAGAGTTTTACATGCATTGCCCCAAAATAATTTCTATTCTCTCTCTTTAATACATCACAACAGAGAGCCTTAAGAGCATTAGAAACAAAACAGAGAGATTTCAATGGAAGTGGCCAAATGCTACCACACCAGGGTTGAACTGAGCAGGGACTGGATGGAATTACATAGAGTATTAAGAATAGAGTATTCCAATGGCGGAAGAGCAGGGCTTTTCACTAACTAATCAATAATTTTGCCAAAGTCAGTTCAGCCCTTTTCATTAAAACCTTCTCATAGTTTTAAGGAATGCAATAAATGTTACTTGATTAAAAGAAAAACTTTAAAAAGACAAATTTTATTCTGAAAACTATAGGTTTTTTAATGTTAGCTGCCATTTTATATAGAAATAAGAAACCTTTAATGCTGATTAGAAGGCATTTCATTTGGTCTCATATGATGGGCTGGGCTTGTTTTCCTCTGCCAAGTTACTGTCACTCTTTGAGTAGAGTTTAGCAAGAGATTACACTGATTCTCTGATGATCTTCCCCTTCCTAATCCCAGGTCAAGAAAATTTACCTGGATGAAAAGAGACTCTTGGCTGGGGACCATTCCATTGACCTTCTCTTGAGAGATTTTAAGAAAAACTACCACATGTATGTGTATCCTGTGCACTGGCAGTTTAGTGAACTTGACAAACATCCTATGGACAGGTAAAAGCTCTTTACCTTCCTGTTACTAAGTCATCCTCCTGATATAATGTCCAATTATCTTTACAAAGAAAATTCTAAACAGATTTCAGAAAAGTTCCAGTTCCATTCTAGAACACTGAAATGCTAACCAAACGTGGTTAGGTGTCTGTACATAAAATTGCTTTGAAAATAACAGATTATGGCCACACAGCTCTCAAGTTTACATGTTAGGTCCAGCCTCCCACGACTACTCTTTCAACTTTTTCTCATTCTTGATCCTAAAGTCACAAGATAATCCTATTGGCCCAATTTGGCCAAGTGCCTACCTCTGACTAGTGAGTAAGAGCCAGTTTATATGAACATGATTGCTGGGGCACACTCCTATAAATTTAAGGTGGAGGGAGGACAGTTGCCAGTGAAGAAGAAAACCTTGCAAGTTGACACCCCAAAAGCTGTCTATCTTACCCATAAATAGCTTATTGCATTTGCAGCTTTTCATAAGTATGCTATTTATTTGGCATACTCAGCAACCTTGTGGAAGAAAAATGCCGTTGGTGATTCTCTGTCAACTTTCATACACAAGCTAATCAGTTAATACACTGCCATTTATTTCATTGCAGAGTCTTGACACATTCAGAGCTTGCTCCTTTGCGAGCATCGCTGGTACCCATGGAACACTGCATAACTCGCTTCTTTGAGGAGTGTGACCCCAACAAGGATAAGCACATCACCCTGAAGGAGTGGGGCCACTGCTTTGGGATTAAAGAAGGTAAATTCATCATTTTCTAGACAAGCCCTAAGCCCTGCAGCCCTCATAAAGAGGTTCTGCTGTGTGTGTGTGTGTTCAAACTGAAACTTAGAGACAGCAAAATGGAAGCATCCCGGGTAGGACTTCTTCAGTGTATGTGCTGCCATTGCAAAGTTATTTCTTACTTGCTTTATAATACTGTTTTCAAAGTATAGCAATTGTGCATATTTAGGGAACAACTGCACTGAGGTCTCAGCAGTTGGTTAAGCCTAAGAAAATGATATAAATCCAGAGAGTTGTGCCAAATCTCAGAAGGCTACTCTTCCAAGGAAGGAAAGATTTTATATCCTTTCTTAACCTGGGTATTGGACCAAACTTTTAAAAATCATACGTGAAGAGTGAAACAGCCAGCCTGATTCTGCCAATGTGAGGTGTCAGAAGAATAGTAGAATTCATTACCAACACACTGAAGATTGGGTCTTACATCACAAGTTGTGTCCAGATAGTATTCCTTTAGTCCAAAAGTGACCGATTATTTCATCTTCAGTGTCCTCCCCACCCACCCCCACCCCCTCACCCCCACAAAAAAAGGAGAGAGAGAGAGAGATCAGAAAGTTCTTTCTTTACTCCCACAGTGGAGAAATTTAAATTTAGACATTTGTTTTGCTAGGTTATATGTTAATCTACTTCCTTTTTTTTCCTAAGTGAGAGTTGATTTTTGTGAGCAAGCATATTTTCAATAATCAGGGTATGAAGGATGCTCAGAAAGTAAGCAATCAAAACTGCTTGCAGAGTGTAAGTGAACAGTGAACATCAAACCTCTAAAGCAGAGATTTTCTATGGATGTTCACAACATATATGTAGGATTACATCCACCTAAGCAGTAAAGAAAAGTAAGCTCATCAAAGGTCAGAATTTCCCAGAAAGAGGCAACATGTGTGATCTTTACTTTAAAAATATTTTTCATACATATGTATAATGCCTTAAAATTAGGGAGAAAGAGCAGAGAGTATGAGGATTTAGTTATGTATTGATAAGTAAGTAAGCAGAAAAAGTTAGTCCTTTTTCTCTACAATATTAGTCTGTGAAATAAGCACAACTAAAAAAAAGAAATAAGCACCACTGTAATGAGCAAAGAATGTATGTTTTTGTGAGCACCTAGTTCTGTATGTTAGTTGTCTATTGCTGTATAACAAATTACTCTAAAGCTTAAAAGCTTAAAATCTCTCTCACAGTTTCCAAGGCTCGGGAACCCAGGAAGAGCTTACCTGGATGGTTCTGGTTCAGAATCTGCTGTAAGCTCACTCACATGTCAGGAGGCTTCTGTTCCTCACCATGTGGTCCTCTCCATGGGGCTGCTCATAGCACTGCACCTGGTTTCTTCCAGAGTGAGTGATTAGAGAGAGAGGGGATATCTAAGACCGAAGCCACAATGTCTTTTATAACCTGATCTCAGAAGTGACATACCATTACTTCTGCCATAGTCTGTTGGTCACAGACCAACCCAGACACAATGCGGGCGGAGATACAGGAGATGAGGATAGTTGGGGGCAATCTTGGAGGCTGGCTACCACATGATGTTTATACCCTGTTTGCATTGACAGGAAATTAACAAGCTATTAAGACCCAGACCCATACAAATAATGCCAATTTTCTAACACCTATTCCATAAGACCAGTACTTACAAATTCAAATATATCCATTGAAAAATAGTTAAAATTGTCTTTCCAATTCCCACATTAAAAGGTACTCAATACAGGTGCCCTGCTTGCTCTGCTCCACCATCATGAGGAGGGGAATAACAACTGGGACAGGACGTATTTATGTATGCCTTTTAGATGGCACTTAATTTTAAGGGAGTGATCAAAAGGCAAATTTGAAGAGAAGTCATTTATTTAAGGAAATCAGTTGTGCTTTGCTGTTCTTTTGAAACTTCTGTCAGCCCCTCAGCCTACAGGAGCACTCAGGCTCTGTTTTGGGAGGAGCAGGAAAGGCGTAAAGCTCAGTGACTCATAAAGCTCCTAATGGTCTTGTTTGTTCACTGTGGTTTGGCTCTGATTACATTATTTTGGAGAAGGGAAAGAATTATTACATAGTAAGCCAATAAAGCAGATATTAAATGTTCGGTCAAAACAAGCAAACAAGTTACTGCTTGGGATGCAGCTAGGGAAAGCTAAACTTATATTTTTATTTGTAAGTATACCCTTCCTTCCCTTGGTGCTGAGAAAGCAACAGAAGGACAAGGTAAATTTTAGCTGGTGTTTTCCTGAATTTTAATTGCCTTTGATTTGAACTAAATGTACTTCAGATAGTCCAGCTCTTTCATTAACTAGCTATGTCAATTAGAGCATGCCACTTATCCTTAGCAAGTTTCATTTTCCTTTCGTGTAAAAAGGGGGTTCAATTAAGAGATGGAGAAGTTTTGTCTATATATTGCCCATGACATAACAAATATTGCTATATCCACGCAAATCTTTAGGAAAACCTTCCAAGTGAGACTAATAGAGGAAATGAGTCAGATCATGCAGGTCCTATTAAGTCAGTTCAGACATTATCCTGGGAGAAATAAGGATCACTGAAGTGTTTTAAATAGGGGAGTGATTTCACTGGATTTGTATGTAAGAAAGATTCTTTTGGTTACAAAGAACAGTTGAGAGGGTGTTGTAAATTCAGGCAAGAGTTGATGAGAACTTGAACCAGGGCAGTTACATTGGAGAAATAGAAAAATAAATATATGTGAGATATATTAAAAATATAAATGTATTCAAGATATATCCAAGAATATAAACATATTCAAGATGTATAGTATGTAGAAGTAGTAAGGTGATGTTTGATAGGAAATATGTAAGGTCAGGAAGCAGTTGAGAGATTGAAAGAAAGAACAGTACGACCCTTAGGTTCCTGGCTCAGGCCAGGCAGGATGAATAAAGGTACCTTCACCTGAGACAGAAAACACAAGAACAGTAGCAAATTTGGGGGAGATGATAAATTCCATTTCGAACACATTAATTTTTGAAGTACTTGGGAGACCACACACATTTGATAATTGAAGATATGGATCGACTTTTTAAGACAGAGTTTGGAAATTGAAATACATATTTGGAATCAGTAGCATACAGAAAGTAATTGACTCTGGGGAAAGAAATTAATTCTCCAAGGAAAAATGTGTTGAGTTACATAGAAAAGGGTCCAGCATTGAGCACCAGGAAACAACAACATCTAGGCAATGGATAGAGGAGAAAGAAGGAGTTCACGAAGGAGAATGAAAAGTCTCCTTAAGGGAAAGAAGAAAACACGGTAGTATCATGCCTAACGGGGTGTTTCAAAGAGGAGGAAGAGAGCACAGTGCCAAGTGTTGCAGAGATGTCAAGTAAGATAAAAGACTGAGTATACTTATTGGATACAGAAATAAAGATAATCCTGGGTGGCTTTGGAAAGAGCAGATTTTGTGGAATAGTAGAAATGGAAGGCAGATTCTACTAGCTGAGAAAGAACAGGAGATGAAAAAGGGTAAAAGTGGTTGTTTGAAGGCAGGAAAGGGCAAGAGAGGGATGTAGAGTTCAGAAAAGCATTTTTGGAAATAAAAGAAGCTTGAGCACTCACTCACTCATTTATTCATTCATTCATTTGTTCATTCAACAAATCTTTACTGATGGCCCACCTAGTACTAGGCACTGTTCTCGAGGCTAGATATACAGCATATTTAAGTGCTAATGGGAAGGATCCAGCAAGAAAGAAAAAGATGAAGATATAATTTTTAAAAAGAAAAAGAGGAAATATGGAGAGAATTCTGAGGTCAGAAGCGATCCTGGGTACAGGTAGAATACAAACCTTAAAGTCAACAGGAACAACACCTACAATCCAAACAACAGGAAGAAGACAAAAAGTATGAGTGCAAATATAAGTAAATATATAAGTAATGAGACTATTATCCCAATTTTACAAATGAAGCTTGTGCTCAAAAGAAATAAACCAAAGCTCATAATCTTTCCCACTCTTGGTATGAAAGGAAGACTTATATTGGGCAGGAAAATTACCTGGTGTCCCATACAGATTAGTAGTTAGCATGCTTCAAATTAACCTGCTTTAAGCATTCGTTCAACAGCTACTGAGTGAGGCGGGCCATACTAGTAAGGGGTGGCCTTATATCCATCCATGGCAACTAGTTCTTTCCCAATTACTTCATCAGAAATTTGATTTAATTGGCCCTATAGTTCCATTTATTTGCATTATATATATTTTAGCAACTGTTATGGATTGATATAGTTAGCACTTCTTGGATGGGCCTCCCTTCAATCTCTTTTCTCAGTGGTTCTGAACCCTACATCAGAACAACCTGCAGGGCTTTCTAAATATATACATTCCATTGGCCCACTCCTGGGTTTCTGATTCAGGATGCCAGGGATAGATAGATAGATAGATAGATAGATAGATAGATAGATAGATAGATAGATAGATAGATATATTTTTTTTTTCTAACCTGAAACAATCATAAAGCTTCACAGGTGATATTGATGCCCTCCCAGGGCTGAGAACCATCACATTGCCTTATTGATGACTTCTCTAATCCCCCACCTCTAATGCTATTTGTTTATATTTCTACTCAGGCTACTTTCTAAAAATATGTTTTGTTTTCATTTTTTACAGAAGACATAGATGAAAATCTCCTGTTTTGAATTAAGATCTGAAAGAACTCAAACTTTCCAGCATCCTCCTCTGTTCTGACCACTTCTGAAATATATGCAACCATAATACTTGTAGATTCGTATTTAGCAAAATGTTTGCATGTCTGAGAAGACAATGAGAGTAATTGCTTGATGACAGTTATTCATCAGGCATTTAACATTAACTTTGGAAATAAAACTTTGAAGTAAAGGCAATATATTGCATGCTGTTTGTAAACAGGAGTTTAACTCATCACTCTGCATCCATTTATGAGATACTTACTGATTATAAAAGTTGAAAAAACTAATACTGTCATTTTGTCCGTAATATCATGTGCATGTCCAAAAATGGAATAATGCTTTTTTGTTGTGAATGTGTATTATTTTCAGTATCTTAATATCCTAATAAAAATTTATAAAAATCCAAACGTTTATTCCCAGTCATTTATTTAAGCAATTATATAAGCCCACACTTTATATCGAATTATAATTGTGTCTTCTAGATCTTACTACTTAAAACATTTTTTTAAGTGTGAGTGTGATTGGGAGAGATGTTTCTTATAGTAAACACATAGTTGTTAAAGGTAGTTGCTGATGAATGTCCTTTGTCATAATGTAAGTGTAAACAGAAAAAAAATGATTTCAAGTACTCTTCACCAAATTCAGTTAAAAGTGTAAATGATTATGCACTGCTTGATACAACTAATTTTAACCTTTGTGCATGTGTGTCAGGGGAGAGAGAGGCCCTGTAAACTGTTTACACTTTTCACGTCCTCAAAATAATGTAATGTAAACATAACAGACAGTGGAGAGCTCTGAACTGTCTTAATGTCCTATGCTGTCAGAGATAAATATTACTACCATAAATTGATAGCAAGAAACTGTGTCATAAGAGAAAATTTGTGTTTTTATTTGAGCTCTTCTTTGGTATCTATTAATACGGTAAAAGCTAGATTGCAAAAATATAAAAGACATCGTAATAGAGTTTTGCAAAGTCTGAAGCAAAGTAATAGATGACCCTGACACCCACTTTAATCTACTTATAATATTTGAAAGAAAATAAGCTTTTTTTTAAACATATTTTCTAACTGAAATGGAAGCTATCAGTGCAATTGTCTTTGATTATTTTTAAAAATAATCAAAAATTTGTTGTAATTGTTGTTAGGAGCCTTATCTGTGATAGTCACTGAGAGAATGTGCCTCTAGAAATTTATCTAAAGGATAATTATGGAAGAGTTTGCTTTTTATCAGAATAATCTTCTCTGATTAACTTCAAAATTGTGTTTATTATCTCTTTTCTTAGCTCAGTGAATCACTTGTTCTTAATCAGACCACATCACACATGTCATGACTAAATAATTATGTTCAATTTATTTAATCAAAATCTAATTATTACTTATAATTTTTTCCAACTAGGAAAATTTAGAAATTATTTCAAAATTCAGAATGCATTTATGGGTAGTTGCAAATAACTGTCGTTAGAGATCTTAATTAATTAGAAACCAAGTTTCTAATTATTACTACGTCAAGAATAGTGAAATTATGTTTAGAGGCATTAATTAGATCTATATTACCATTTTAAATGTTTTTTGGATTAGGGAAAAGTAATTTTAATGCTAAAGACACTACTTAAATATTGACCAAAAATGTTTTATTTGAAGATAATTTTCATTTTGAAATGAAAAATATTATATAATAACCGAAAATTTTAGAACTTTTAATTTTTCTATCTTTTAAGGCTCCTATGTGTATCACTGCCCTGAATGATATATTGAAGAAGCACTTTAATATTCTTGGTGGTCACAGTTTTTAATTGTGGATTGTTTATGATAAAGACATAACTCTAATCCTAACCAAGGAGATGAAGTTATTTTTTCAGTAATTGAGATGCTTTAGAAGTTGGAGTTCCTAGTCTGGAACCAATTATACAGTGTAGCTTTGAATTTTGGGACTCATATTGCCCATGACCATAAAACATTAGCAATACGGCTTAAATACTAGATGGGCATAGAGATTCCAGGAGATCACACTGTTCTTTGAATTCTTGCTCCGAGGGCCATTTGAAGCAAGGTAATTAAAAAGATGTTCAGTATCATTTGGACTGATTCGATTACACTAGGTAAAAGAATATAAGATATTCTTGTGTTGGATAACTTAGTGATTCCTAATAGTGCCACTTACCAAAGGAAAAAAAAAATTCAAGGGTTTGAATCTTGAATGGGGAAAAAATACAAAGGAGAAACATGAAAAAGGGGGGAAAGGGGGATGATTTGCTTAAATTTAGGCAAAAGAAATAATAGTACAAAGGTAAATCAGAGTTGAGTTTCAAATACATACAAAACAGTTGAAGAGTGACATACATAAAGAGTTATAATTTGCTTCAGATGCTGGGGACAAGTCTTAATAAGAACATGATGAAGATGATTTTTCTTCCAAAATTCAATTCCAGAGGACAGTGATTTGGTTTGAAACTCACAGGGTAAGTTCATTTGAATTAAATGTAATTGAAGACCATGAAAAAGTTTGCTTTCAGAATCAGCTGGCCAGTAAAGACCACATTAATTTGCTTTAAGGAATTTACTCATATTGTGCTTATTCCCTACCAATCTTACAAGATTTTTCCCATATTATTTTCTTCTTGAGAAATTACAGTTGCCAGTAACAGCATTAATTAATTCAACCTCTACAACTGCCCCTAGTAAGCATGGGTTTAGGGAATCTCAAATTGTGAAAAGTATTTATTAGTTGGATGATGGTTATGTTTTTTTCCAAATTTTGATACAAAAATATGAGGCTTTTTGAAGTTGCCAGGCATCAGCTATTCACAACCCCTTCCCCGAATAGCTTGTGGAAGAGTGTGACAAAGGGTGAGCAAATTTCCCCCCAAATCTTCAGTGACTTTTTCGAACGTCTTTCTCCACTTGCCATCAAAGAGGTGTTTATACTGAATTACTCTATAATGAGCCAACTCTTCAGAAAGAGAATACTAACCTCTTTTCATAATATCTGCTCTTTTTCTAAATCACCTTGTTGCTTTCTTCTAAAAAGTTTTTTTCCAGCTCTCTTTAACTTTTTCTCACTGGTCAAACAATATAATTAGTTTGCTCTTCTTGTTGAATATTCTCTAATCTTCCTAATCTCTGGATTCTTATAACATTTTTTAATAAAGGCCAAAACAATGCTAAGTAGTAGAATCGCCTTTATTCCATATGTAATACTTTTGTTGGTACAGATAGCATTCATCGTTAACACTTACTGAGTGTCTAGTATATAATAGGGTCTGTAGTGGGGGCTGGAAATACAAAAAGTATGAGAAAAATTCACAGTCTGATAAGGAAGAGAGATTCCTAAATGAAAAAAAAAATGTAATTTAAAGAGTGCTTCTAGATAAAAATACAAAGCTGACTTAGGCTAGGGGTCAAAGACTTCATTCACAGAGAAGATGGTATGGCACCCAGGTCATGAAGAATAAGAAGTGGGTGGGGCACTCAGGCAGAGGGAACAAGAGCATCGGGCTGACCCAAGAAGGTCATAACAATTGCTTGGGGGTGAGGGACAGAAATGACCAGTATAACAAGACTACAACTCAAGTTGGAAACATGTTAAATTTGGACATTATTTAAGCAATGATGTTTTGAAAACTTCACACACAGTTTAAAATAACATCTTGCTTGTTTATCACCTAAATTATCTTGAAAATACTATTTTGCATAATTTTGTTTTTATTTCTAAATGTAATAAGCACCTTACTTTTCCTTTATTTAATTGCAAAGGGTTTCTCAACTTTAAGTGTGCTGCCTGGTAAATTACAGTTTGACAACATGACATTCTAACAATAAGCTTTCTGCTTCTG